CTGTAATGATATTGGGAATGGCTTTGGGAGATAAGAGAGAAAAGCCATAACCAGAGAAACAGATAAGAGGCTGCTTAGCCCACAGCAGGAATAGCACTTAGACTTCATAGTACTTTAACACTTCATAGTACTTTACAGCCTTCTCTAAGTGGTTTACAGAGTCAGCATATTTTCCCCAACAATCTGGGTCTTCATTTTATTAACCTCAGAAGGATGGAAGGCTGAGTCAACCTTGAGCTGGTCAGGATCGAACTCCTGGCTATGGGCAGAGTTAGCCTGCAATACTGCATTCTAACCACTGTGCCACCATAGAATGTGGGCATGACAAACATCTCAGAAGGAATCCTCTCTAGTTTCTTAGACTGCAAAGGTGTGTAAGATTCTATTAATGTAACCTTGTTGTTGTTGTTGTTAGTTGCAAAATCGTGTCTGACCCATCGTGACCCCATGGACAATGTTCATCCAGGCCTTCCTATCCTCTACCATCTTCTGGAGGCCATTTAAGCTCATGCCTACTGCTTCAGTGACTCCATCCAGCCACCTCATTCTCTGTCGTCCCATTCTTCTATTGCCCTCAATCTTTCCTAGCATTAGGCTCTTCTCCAGTGAGTCCTTCCTTCTCATTAGGTGGCCAAAGTATTTGAGTTTCAACTTCAGGATCTGGTCTTCTAAAGAGCAGTTGGGGTTGATCTCTTCTAAGACTGACCGGTTTGAATACCTTGCAGTCCAGGGGACTCGCAGGAGTCTTCTCCAGCACCATGTAAACTTACAATAAAGTAACCTTAAAAGAAAGTTACAGCTGTTTGTCTGGACTACTCTCTATGGCTGACAGAAGCAGACAATTTACAAGGTCACACGTAACTACAGTACTGTTATGAAAACAGTTAAATTTAAAAGAAAGACATTCAAAACCAGGCAATATTTGATTTTAAAGCCATGTCTTCCTTTTGCCAGATGTCTAGTAACCTAGTTATGAGGAGACTAATAGAATTTGCAGGAGGATTTACCTTTTTATCATGTTATAGCAAAATAGGCTTTGAAGGTTTTAAAGAGTTTTAAAATTCAATTGAATTTTAAAATTCAATTGAAAATTGTAAAAATGAACTAAAAACAAGTAATTAGTTAATGCACTTGATTTATTAACCTGCCTTGTGCTGAAATAATTGGTCCACCTAATCCTGTGCCATGTATTCTGTTGTTCCCTAATTTAATGCTCTTCACCAGTGCTGGGATTCCAATTCCAAATTGCAGAGCCAGTATAAACAATATTAAACAATGTCAGGATAAGGAAGCCTGGGTTGTAATTGGCAGGCATTGTCCCAGCATAGCTGATATCCTTTGGACTGGTATGCAGGTTTGCCCTACCACAACCTACGCTATGCATCATGCTGTTCAATGCCCTTGATATTTAGTTACAATTCTCAAATTTGCATAATATGTTGTTCTGTTTTGTCTAATCCTGTTTTTGTTTTGTGTTGATGAGAATTTATAGAGAGCAAGTCAATGCTGGCTTGATTCATTTAAGTTGCAGGTTTCTCATCAGACTTATTCCTTTATGCAAGCATTACAAATAATTACCTTTTTTTCTTCCTCTATCCATCCTTCTTCTTTCCCAAGGATTCTTGAACTTTATATAAGCTACAACTACTTGCTTATTCTTGCCCCTCTTCCTTATATATAGAGTTTATATGATTTCCAATATAACTAAAACAAGTACAGTAGGTAAGAGAAAAGGATGTTCAACAGGAGTAGAATAAAAATAAGGCCAGAGAAGTTATAAGAATTTTGACTCTTGTCTCAGGGGATTTACAGACCAATCTCAGAAATAATCCTACTGATGGGACTTCTGATCAGGCATACAAGAGCCACAGAATAGTCATGGACAGGAATCTGGTTTATGCATTCATTTGACCACTGTTGGTATGGTTTGCTCTGGAATGCCTTGGAAATCCAAAACAAATGTTTAAAGGCATCAGAGAAGTTGTTGCTTTTTGTTCAGTGATAACAAGCCATGTCATCATTAGCATATAGCTTTAATTACATTGGAAATATTACATTAAACTATTTTATATATTTAGATTTCAGAGGAAGATTCTTTACTCTTGAAATCTCCCATCAACTTATTGTGGCTCAGATTCTTGGGCCAAATCCAATTAGACATTGCAAACTTCATTTCCACTGAAATGCAATCAATTGTAACTTATTTTCAAATCACGCAGCTTTCTCTAATTGTTAGCACCAGCCTCTCCTGAATAGATGGTTAAGCAAATTAGACTATCTTGGATATGAAAATTGCCTATTTAGGTTGGCAGCTTTTTGCACTGCTGATGAGGTTGTTTGAGCTAATGGGATAATGAAAACACAAAGCAGATTTACCTTTCTTAATAAGGAGGAAAGATAATGAACTAAAATTAAAAATGAAACTCTCATGTGATATAATGACAAGATTTCCTTCTTTTTCTAGAAAAAAAAAGTAGCAACAATTGAAAAATTAGGGCTTTGTTTTATTTTTAAATCTAGAGCCTTGTACCTTAAAGCACTGCTTTGTTTTCTTAGTTGATCTTGCTGTGTGGAGTCAGGCAAGGTTTACTTTGTATGGGATTGAGCTGATGGTTGAATATAATATTTAACTTCTGTTGTGTTAGTCCTCATCTCAGCAGGTCAAAGCACCTGGCTGACCATTTTGGTTATGAGTGCCAAATATGGTGGAAAACAGACTAGTTAAATGGAATGGTACTAGGGAAATCCAGAGCTGCAGGCCAACCTAGGAAGCTGAAAAATCATTCTGGAAGAATTTGGTACCCTACAGTAGAAAACCATTGTTGCCAAAAGAATTACATGGCTTGTGCCCATAAGGTCACCAGGTATTTAGCTAAATGTGAAGGAAGTAAATCTTACTTTTAAAGATAGCATCTCTTGAGTCCAGCTAATGCAGAAAGCCCTTTGCTTTGTTCAGCTTCTACTCTCTTGCTGTTATCATAAATGTCTTGCTTCTATAAGAACACTTAACATATCTGAAAGAAATACTCTTAGATTACTTTTGCTTGACTTATTCAGAAGTACTAAATGCTATCATGACATCATGTGTCTGAACCAAATGACCTATGATAGAAAATACCTAATTGGCTTCTTCACAACAGTTGCCAAATCATTGAGAAAAAACTGATGAGTCTTCTTGAACATTCTTTGTTTTCTTTCTGTCTTCAGATAAGAAATGAAGTTGGCTTCATATCTTAGTGTTGATCCAATATGACAACTCAATTAATCTAGGAACTGAAAACTCTCTGTGCTTTTCATGCGAGTATTCATTGTGATGAAATTTTCACCAAATGCATCAGGGTAGCAGCTTCCATTGACATGAAATTCTCCTTCCAGTATACAGTAAAGAACAGCTTGAGAGATAACTTATGTTTTATATGTGATCTTGGAAAACATTTAGTTTGAAGCATATACTTCAAACTAAGTATGTACATACATACATACATACATGCACATATATTGAAATAAATAAATGAAATGTTTTCATTAAACTGTAAGAAATTAACTTTCCCATTTCTATTCTAATTGCAACATCTGTTCTTGCAGCATGGGTGTCAAACTCGCCGCATCATGCAATGTGTCACAATGTATCGTGACTTTTTTTGCATTGCTGGAGCTGTGGTAGGCGCGGCCTCTGTACAGTATGATGCAACTGGCCCGCAGGCCGGCAGTTTGACACTTCTGATTTACAGTATACCAAAATAAGATTTTCCTTAGCTGAGTGCAAATACTAGGCTATATAGAGAATTTCATCCAGAAACTTAACTTTTATAGACTTGTTATGATTTACCCCTGATTCTAAACAAATGGAGATAAGTTTTCCCTTTTTTAAATAACTGTACAGTTTTAAATTATATAACTACTAACATTCCCTTCCCTCTGTTAGAATAATTGCTGTAGCATAGCCCCCCCCCTTTTTTTGTCCTTTGAAGGATCAAGCTTATTTGATAATTGGAGTTGACTACTTTTAATTTTTCATGACTGCCTCTAATCTACAGGATCTCTTTTAAGATGTGCAGCTACTGTAGTACTTTTTTAGGCAAACACAGAACATTTATTTTATGTACCATATTTATATTAGACATCACTAGGGAGGAAATAAGTTCATATATATTTATAGAAAACATCAATAGCCTCAATTTTCAGTGCTCAGTAGTTTTTGGCTGACACTTCTGAATGGAACTTCTGATGTGTATATATTTTTGGTGATGGAAGCCAATGGCACACGTCAATATTATCTCCCAAAAAATGCTAAAATTAAAGGATGAAAGATAAAGGATTTTTTTTTGGAAAGATACATCCCAATCTGGAAGAAGAGAGGGTGACATTGAAAAGTTTTAAAGTTTACATTAAAATATGTCAGTCTTTTGGTACATTATTCTCCATAAATATGCATTACAGATGGTAAAAAAATGTAATCTACACAATTTTCACAAACAGTTTTTCCTAATATATTTTGTATGTTGCTTTTTATACAAAATGTAGAAATTTTGAGCTTAGGAAAATGCATTGTAAAATCCATAAACTATGACTTTCAAATAATTACTGAATTTCAATTTCTCTGTTTAGATAAAAAATGTGAAATTAGATGCAATCACTTTCAACTTCAAACTAAATGAATTTCTTTGAAGCTTGCTGAACATATTTTAATGTATAAACAATCTCTAGAGTTATGTCTGATACTCCCATGCCTATCATTTAAAAGGTGTTTATTAATAAGAAATGTGGCCAGATTGTCATCAATGCAAAAGAAAATATTTCTCTAGTAAAGACCTCAGCTAGGAAAATAGCAAAACTTACTATGAGGCTTATTCTTAGGCCACTATAGGAAGGCAACTTTATTTCTCTCAAGTGTTTTACTACATTATCTAATATTCACACCAGGAATAGAAAACTATACATAATGGAATACAGGTAGTCCTTGACTTACAACAATTCACTAAGTCAGTGCTTTTTTTGTAAAAAAAAAAAAAAGGTGTCAGAAGTCACGCACAGCTTTGATGGACTGGCGGAAGCCTCTAGCATGCCGCATCCCGCTCCAGTCGAAAGTCCTTTATGGAGCGGGGGAGAACCACTTTAGGGAGTTTCCGAGGCACAGATCATGTGAGCAGCGTTAGCTGATGGACAGCATTGCCATGGCTTTTCATAGGGCGCTTATTCAGAGCCAGGATGTCTTCTGCCACTTTGTCCTCCTCCGCCTCTGATGGCAGAGGCTTCCTCCAGAGCCAGAGCACCCAAGGCAGTGGCGGTGCTGCTGTTTTGGGAGCACTCCTGGTCCCTCAAAGAGAGTTGCTCCAGGACCTCGTCCTGGTCCCTGCCAACCAACGCAGGGATGAGCACAGGTGGTGGAGATGGGGGGAGCCCGGTGAACCAAGGAAGAGAAGAGGGTCTGCTTTCAGGGCCATGGAAGTGTTTCCGGGTCGACCTTCAATGCTCCAGATTTCCCCGAGCAGCTTCCTTTCACCGAGCCAGAGCTTTACTCACATTGGTGGCTTAGAAGGAGCCGGTTCTTCTCTTCAAAAAAAGGTGCTGGAACGCTGTTCCGGTGCGTTCTATGACAAAAAAAGCACTTAGTGACCATTTGAAGTTACAACGGCACTGAAAAAAGTGACTTATGACCAATTTTCACACTTATGACTATTGTGCAACATCCCTATGGTCATGTGATCAGAATTCAGATGCTTGGCAACTGACTCATGTTTATTACCATTGCAGTATCCCGGGGTCACGTGATCCCCTTTTGCGACTTTCTAACAAGCAAAGTCAATGGGTAAACCAGATTCTCTTAACAACCGTGGTACTAACTTAACAACTGTAGTGATTCACTTAACTGTGGCAAGAAAGGTCATAAAATGGAGCCAAACTCATTTAACAAATGCCTCACTTAGCAACAGAAATTTTGGGCTCAATTGTGGTCCTAATTCGGAGGACTACCTGTATAGAATCCAATCAGGCCTGCATCAGGCATAAATAGTTGCTGTCAACCTACTACTGGTTCTCCACCTCTCTCTTCACTGAAGTCAGGACAAGACATTGTGAATGAGTGGCTATTGTAGCTGTCATACATGTAACTGTACTTGTAATTTTGAGAACAATGCTTTGAATCCAGACATAGTCACACTTGGAGTGAGCTGAAGATTAATGTGTCTCATTGATGCCAATAGGCATTCTTTGGCCTTGAGTCCAACCCTGTGAATCTAGAATTAATTTCTCTCAAATGTATTTTTGCACAGATAAACGAACCTTCATCTCTGTCAAATTTCACTTTCAAGAAAAAGGAAGAACTTAAGAAAGTGGATTTCTGGGTCTTGCTTTTGTAGATAAAAGCAAATGTAGAGGATTTCCCTTCCCCCTCTCATGTCATCTTTTTTCATTCTTCGCTCCCCATATGCCCATCGACCCCCTCCCCGTTCCTAGGTCACTGTCTAGACAAAGCTCTCTTGGGGCGAACTAAGAAGGGAATAGGAAAGGAAAATAGAAAAAAAATATGAAACTCAAGCTAACAATGATCAGATTTGTGATAATGCTAAATTCAATAATGATGATCCAGCCTATTCAGGAAACTGTTTTACACTAGCTGATCTTGGCAGATGTCTGGAGTGAGAGAATTGCCCTATATTTTTATTAAACTATGTTTCCAGGTTTACTGGAACAATTATTTTTCTCTCCTGATATCTGGTGTATTCAGCTTTGATTATTGAAGCAAACAGGTTTGTTCTTAGCTAGCACCTGCCCTTCCCATCAACTCCTCCTTATAATTAGAGAGAACAAAAGTGCATTAAAGACCTACATCATAACATCGTCCTTTAAAAGGTTGCTAAGCTAAAAGGTGCTTTCAGGTGTTATGTCACAAAGGGATAACAAAGCAATTAGTCTATTGTGTGTGTTTAGTGATAACAATTGTTAAAGCATTCTCTTAGGGCTGATTTATATTTTATATAACAAGTGTGTTTGCCATATGTGCATTTGTGTTTGCAAAGCTAATCCTTTGAAAATGCCATTGTCCCAATCTTGTTGCCCATATTAAGCCTCTGAATAAATGTTTGTTGATCTCAAAAATTATCTTACATGCACCATACATAAACAAATGTGCAATTGAAATTATTAAAATAATTATATGACATGACCTTTTAAGTGTAGATTGCCCTCTCCCCAAATCTAGTTTAATTATAAACAGATGTTTTCATTGCTAGTGATGATACTTGAGAACTCCTTGACTAACCAAAGTAGGTTCAATAAATAATATTTTATACAGGGCAAAATAATCTATTTAAAACAAAAAACAAAAAAAGATTTGGAACCTATTACCCTAAATTCTTTTAAGATACAGGAGCTTCCCCTTCAGAATGTAAGCTAATATTAGAAATGAGAAACAATTTAGGGGTTATAAAATAATATTAGTATATATGTAAAGCTGCAAATTACTACAGTGATGGATTTTGACATACAATTTATCAATTCTATGAAAGTATTTCCTGGCTGTCCATATTTGGGTACCCGAGACATTCTACAACTGTAGATCATTGGAAACTAAAAACATCATATGGCAAATAAACCAAAGATCAAACTATAATATGTATCCTAGGCATATATTTGGCTTCTGGGCAGGGACATGTGAGTCTCACTTCTTTAAAGGCAGTAAAGCGGAAGTATATTTAACAATGCGATGGCATATAGATATATTTTAATCTGCTTTTCGTATTCATAGTATATTACATGATCCATCATTTTAATCATGATTCTCTGAATTTGGAATGCTAAATTGTAGGTTTAGCTCCTCTCCTGAAAAACAACAAATGAGACTTGGATACAGTTGTGAGGAACTTATTTATTTATTTATATTTATTGGCCACCCAAGTCCAGTGGACTGGGGGGGGGGGAAGTGGGTTTACAAAAATCTCAGTGAACTTCAGTTTTTTTACCTTATAAATATGAATCATTTTCTTCCATGCATTCCATTGAGGAAAGAAGTAGGGGCACTTGGCATTCTAGGTGCTCAGTCAGTTGAACTACAGGTAGTCCTCAACATACAACCATTTGTTTAGCGAACATTTGAAGTTACAACTGCATTAAAAAAAATGGCCATGTGATCAAAATTCATGGCCATGTGATCAAAATTCAGGCACTTGGCACCAGCATGTATTTATGACAGTTACAGCATCCCAGGGTCACGTGACTGCCATTTATGACTTTTCCAACCACCGCCAACAAGCAAAAAAGTTCATAAAATTGGCTGTGACTCATTTAACAACTGCCTGGTTTAGCAATGGAAATTCTTATCCCAATTGTGGTCATAGGTCAAGGAGTATCTATACACAGGAAGTGAAACAGAAGCAGTTAGCAACCCAGATGCAAGTGAAAATCATAGATTTTACCACACAAGAACTTCTATACCGTAACCAGGGAAGGATTACTGGCTGAGGCACGGAAGTACAGTGGAGGAGCCACTAGTTCTGCATATGTCTTGTTATCATAAATTATTTATTATTGTCCCTTGTTTCAGTACTTGTGTTGCTTTTCATGAATTATTTTACTATTTCTGATATTCTGCTTCAATTCCCCCCCCCCATAAATGGCACGCAAGTCAAACAAACAAATGAAAATAACATCCATTAAAATACAATGGAAAATTGTATTCAAATGTATCAAAAGCACGCACAACAAAACGTGTATTTAGTTGCTAGCTTGACTACATACAAAATACAGAGTTCCAAAGCTGGGAGCAGGCAACGAAGTCCAGTGGTCAGTGATCTGATGACGTAATTCCTCTGCCTCAGTTTTTATTAGTGACCCTCTTGCCATCATTTAAATTTGTTAGACAACCAACCCATTTGGTTCCTCACTATTCATGAGGTAATTTCTGCCCCCAAGAACTGTTGCCTTACAAGTCCATTCATTTGGAATGTTTTTCATTAAAGAAGGAGCGGTTAGCAAAAAGAGAATAAGCCACCCATGTTTCTATTGCGATACAAAGTTCATATGTTATCACTTACCCCCATTGACTCCTTCGTTAACATGAACAAGTTAAGCTTTGCAAAAATTTAGCAGTAAACAAGCAGGCAGTATAAAGTTTCCTGGGACTGGGCAACATAATTGCTACTTCAACTGTGAAAATTATTGCTGTCCAGTGAAGGGCAGCATCCACATGCAGTATCAATCTCTCAGTAGAGTGAATATTCATATACACCAGCTCAGAAAGACTTTCATTTATCACTTCTCCATCCCACTGGAAAAGGAGAATGGAGGAGCAATTGACATCAAAAGAATGTGATATAAGAGTGTAATCAGAGTGGATGGGGCAACAGAAAAGTCTGTGGAGAAAGTCAGAGAAGAAGGAAGTTGGAAAGAGAGTGAAGAACTCATAAACAACTGACAATCGGTACAACTGCTAGACAGGGGGATCAGAGAACTTAATTCAGAATCATCTCTAGACCAGCTTGGTCTCATGCATTGTCTGGTTTTGGAACTGATTGAATTTATTAGTGGCTCTGCACCTGCTTATTTGAAACATTACAAACCTGGTTTTTCTGTTCAAATTGTTGGATTTCTGCAGGATTAATGGTTAATCTGTTTTCCCACAAGCAGAAGCTTTTACCCCACCTTCTTCTGGGTTCAAGCAAGCCATTATTTATTCTCCCCAACTTCTGCCCTACCCCATAGACTTGTTGCAGGCAATAGCTAGAATTTATCCTGGCCTCTTCCCATTAAAAGCAATTAATCTTTCTATCTGAAAGCTGATCCTTTAATATAGTAATTACTTTAAAAATAAATCCTTGAATCGGAACTGAATCTGATTTTTATAGGCCTGCCCTTAGCAAGAGTCTAGACAAGGAGTTTGAGACCCTAGAGTTTTTTAGTTTGCTTAAGAAGATTTTTTAAAATTCTGTCTCACCTGGAATATTTATTGTTTTATTGGATTGCTTTATTATTTTACAATATTGTGTACGCTGGTTTACAATATTGTGTACACTGTTTTGAGGTTATAGAAATTAAAATATACAAGAATTGTATAAATATTAAAATGAAGATTTTGGGAAAGTAGCAAGGAATCTTGAGTGAAAACACACATTCAATTGTTTCTTTGCTCTTCCACTGCAGTACTGCATCTACAACTCTTTCCCACTATTTTCTCATTGACCATTTTATTAACTATCCCAGTTGATATCTATGATGGACCAGTTTTGACCTCAACCAATATCTTCTAAGAATAGGTTAGTGCAGAATATATAATGGAAGATCCAATGCATTTTGTACATCATGTCGTTTAAAAAAATGCTTCCCCTCCAAGAAATATTTACCCATTTTTTAATTAGTTGGTTCTGTTAATTTTAACTTGCTCTAAGATTTCTCCCTATGAACAAGCAATTTTTCCTTGGCTTTCAGAGCCTTAAGTCTTTGATTAATGGATGAATGACCTTCAACCTAGAGGGCCAGTGGAAGTCTATTTTGTGTTCCTTTTATTTGGAAAAGATTGAAGCACCAATTCTGAGTTAAAGATGGAGTTTGATTGGCAAATAAACAACTATAAAGTACAATAAATCCTACTGAAGAG